AAACTACTTTTTCAAATTTCATTTTACATGAAATTTTGAAACATGCCTCATTTCCAAGTCAAAAAAAAAATCTGAAGGGGTGGGATTTCCTAGTAAAGAAGAAAAAAATGGTTCCCATTTATTTCTGCAGTTGGACCTTATCAGACCAAGATCTGCTGCTTTTCCTGGCCAAACTTAGTCAAACAAATAATGTCAGAGAGAGAACTACATACAGATAAATAGATATTTTCAGCAGCTCTTTTGAGCAAGAAAAGTGGAAGACTATGCAGTAAAATGAAACAAAGCTATTATTATGGCAAAAATTTGCATTCATGAGCATCAAGGCTGCAGATTTGTGTGCAAGAGGCAAGACGTGACAGCCCAGGTTCCTTTGTAGGTGGAGATCATCTGCCTTCCACCTAAGCTAAGTTAAAAAAAAAATGTATATACATTTTGGGTTTTTTTTAAATATCTATTTAAAATAATATATCTTACCTTTGAAACCTAGTGCTAAAATCCTGATTGTGGCCAAGCAGAAAACCACAAAATCTTCCCGACTCACTGGGGCTGGGGTTCCCGCCTCGTGCACGCAGGAGGGAGCAGGGGCAGCAGGCAAGGGCTGATGCTTCTATGGTGCGTGAGTGGGTGGGTGCAAGACCAACCTCTTCTCCGGGACCTTTACTCCCCCTGCAAAGAAGCAGCCCAGCTTGTCCCCCTCACAGCATAGGTCTTTGTAGGCTGCCCAATATGATGAAGCAATCCCCCCCCCAGCTCCTGAGGGGGGGGGTTGATTTTCCTCAGGCATTGCTGGACACCCTCCTAGTCTTTCTGTCCAAAAATGGGTGACACTTTCTTATGGAGAGATGTTCTGGGTTGGGAATAGGTTGGTACAGAAATATTCCTTTCCCAGGCTGTGCCCCAGTTGGGCAACGTACTTCAAGAAAAACCATGTGAAATATTATGAGTGGCCCTTTTAACTTCAGGGGTGGTTTAAACCCCTGCTGTTGATGCTGACTGAAATTTAACCAGCTGATAAAAAATGTCCCATTTTTAATGTTGGCATGAACCAAACATTAAGAAAGTGCTAGGGAGCAAGCTAGCTAGGCAGAAACCAGTGGGACAAAGAAAATTCACCTGTTACGAGCCCAGTTTTAATACAAAAATTCCATCTGTAAAAAAAAAAAAAAAAGACCCTCACCTGTGGAAAGAGGGCATTTTGATTACTCAGTCCTCCCCTGGGAGCAGAAGACAGGGTGCCCTGGGCAGCCACTAACCAGCACAGAAATCAGAGCAGCCCAGGCTGCCAGCATCCAGCACCACAGATAGGGCATTCCATGCATTGCATGGCTGACACATTTATTTTCCGATTAACACCTTTCATGGATCCAGAGATACTCTTGCATATTATTTAAAAACACCTAATCCAACAGCATGGTGTGTTTTTTTTTTTTTTCCTTTTTTTTTTCCCCATGTATACACAGCGATGGTGAATCATGAAGTCAGAACAGCAAAGAACTGGTTAAAGGGAAGCAGCACGCAAGATAATGATCCCCCAGATATTGGACGAACTGGATTTAAATATAATTCCTCTCAAAAGGCCAGAGAAGCAAATGCTTTTGTTGTGTCCTGCTACATACAGTCTTCAGAACAGAAACATCAACACCAAGGGGAAGAAAAAAAAGAGAAGGAAAAAAGGAAAAGCACCATAGTGAGATTAGGGGCTGATTTAAATTCCTTCTGCAATGATATTCATCACAAATTAAGAGAAGCCTCTTTCCCCCTGCCAAGAGTTCTCAAAATAGTCCATGTTTCAGTCTAGTTCTTCAGTTGTGTATCATGCAGAACCACTTGGTGGGTTTCTTTGTATATTTTGTGGTTTCTTTTTTAAAAAATATAAACAGCATCCAGAATTGTGGACTACCCTGGTTTGGTGGATGTGAAGCTTGTGCCTATGCAATGGTGTTTTTTTCAATTTGCTTTCTGGTAACAGTGCACTGATTTGCACAGGACCTTCTGCTGGGGAGGCACCAGACTAGGACTGACAGACCAGCTCTGAGGACAGACAGAGCAGCTGAAAAGCCTCTCAAAGGATTCAATGGAAAAAACTGCAGCCCAGCAAGGGCATGGTCTTTGTAGCATGCTTTTTGGTTTTCAAATTAAAGGCATTGTAGAAGTGAAAAATAATATTTTGAGATTGCCTTTCAGTTCGTTATCTCCACAGATGGGTGCCCTGGGCTAGCTCTCACCATTTAACCCACCTCCCTGCCCAGGGCTGTTCTCTAACAACCACCTAGTTGAACAATATTAAACTTTAAAACTTTTTTTTTTTTTAAAAAGAGAGATTGAAAATTTTTACAATTCAGTACTCACCCCAAGCACAAGTTTAGCAAAGAATGTGTTATGCCTAACTACTTGATCAAGGTTTTCAGATGCAGTGAGATTTCTGCTGCTTCTGTTTCTGAATATTAAGCTTGGAATATCTGAAAGACATTGACTTCTAGATATGCCTGGTCACCTTAAACTACACTGAAAAAAAATCAGACTCCTGAGATACTTCAAGGTGGGAATATAAATATTATAATCACATCCATTGATTTTTAGGTGGCCTGTCTCTCCTGGGCGTAGTTTAAACATGTAACACATAGAAGTGGATCCTTGTCTCTGCAAAGCTTCCCGGCATTATTTTAAATATTAAATTCACATTCCACTGTATCTTATATCCTACCCTATCATATCCTACCTACCCTCATCTTCTAGTTAAGCATACAATTTCTTCCCACTCAATACATGTTTAATATGATCAATTTTGTTCTGCCTGCAAATATTTCACTAATATTATCTGTATAGCTTGGTTAAAGAGAGCAAACAAACACCCCAAGCCTCTCAGATGGCAGCTAAGCGTCACTAACAGCTGGCAGATACAGAGGAGGGTTCAGCTCTGTGAGTAATTGAGGATGTGTAAAAATACAGAAGGAAAAAATGTTTACAGCTAACCATATACATTCATTACTGAATATGACTAGTCATTTCCTCAAAGAGTAAAAGATTTCTTCATTGTTCCAAAAAAATTTATTGAAAATATTGGATTTAATGAGTGACAGTAAATTAATTTTCCCTGCTTGGATGATTTTTAACTTCAAAAAAAATGTTTTAAGTTCATCTTTCACTTTTTTTTTTTAAACACTTCCACAAGTTCCTGACAGTGAATTCATTCTCTGGAATATTGATTTAAAATAATGTAGCATAAGGGGAAAAAAGTGAAAGACTGAACTATAGAAAACTTAAAAAAATTAAAGTGGATATTTTCCAGTAGCAGCTTTGTTAGCAACTTCTTTCCAACCAATGAAGATGTTCTGCTCGGACGTCCTACAGTTTGCAAAGCAGTAACCTGAAGATGCCCAGAACAGAGACTGTTTTCTTTAACAGTACAAGATAAAAAGATGTATTTTGAGACCATTACGGGCTGCGTGGTTGGAGGGCAGTCTACAGAAACCCAGCAGTTTGCAACATCAGTGCCCAGGTGGTGGCTTCTGCCCTACCTTGCTTCAAGGCCATGCAGCTCCGCACCCAGGAGCCACCACCTTCTCCATGAAGGGCATTGAAGCACAGCTAGGACAAAGAAGAATTGGAGTCCTCACCTTTTTTAAAATTTTATTTTATTATATATTTACTTTTGAAATTTATAGACCCCCCCAAAAAATGGCATTATACAGCACAAGCCAGTTCTGACACGCTGATGATCCTGCACCCTGCCCTAGCTACGCTCCTACAATAGGATAACGCAGTAACTCAGTCTGCTCCAGCGCTGGAGAAGGGGCAGTGTCATGCACGTGTTTTGGTGGTTCTTTGGGATTAACATTAATCCCAGATGGTCCTTCTGTTAGATAAAATGCTGTACAGTTTCAAACAAGTTTCTCAGAGATTTCGTTTCACTTGAAAAAGAGACTTAAGTTTAGCTTGAGGGAATGCATATTCTGTAAACTCACATTAATAAGCATTAATTCTTATTCCAGAGTTCATGATTAATCTATTTCTACATCAAGCTTTAAAATCAATTTTGCCCAGAACTAATGTCTAGGTGAGAGCTTTATAATTATCCAGGTTATGCCATTTACAGTCTCCAAGACCTGGCATGCCAGGAAATTGCTTTTCCTCTACTGGAACTTTCTAAGCATTGCAAAATACAAGAAAATGGTTCGGACACTTTCTTCGACAATTTTGGATACAAATTATCTGGATCAGCTGCTTTTTAAAAATACGAGTCCCACAGTTGCTGAGTTATTATTGAAAAAGATAGAATTTCATCAAATCTTATCCTCCCCATGTGAAACAGACCACTTGCCAAATAATTTGCATTTCAGCACAAGTTACGGATATTTCTAATAGGTTCCCTTAGTACTAGACAAATACAATTTTTACCATTTCCATTTTCCCTAAGTGTTTTTACATCACTTATTCTTCCCCTCCAAGTAGAAACACTAGTCTTGACCTATGGAAGGGATCACAGAAATGCTAGTCTTGAACTATGGAGGGGATCACTCATTCATCCAATGCCTCACCCCGGCTCTGCACTGCCCCGCTTAGCCCCTCTGGTCTCTTGCTTTGATCTTCATGTTTTACATCGACTTCTGCATTTGCCACAGCCACTCACTCAGGTTACAGCCGGGTCTTTCTGTGGCCACCAGGCTTGCGGGCACAGCTCCAGCATGGTCCCTACCTTGGCCCCTCTCCTCCCTCACCCCGTTTGGTATTTCCCTCCCCTGCTTACATGTGTGCCCCTCACACTCTTGTTTTACGTTTCTTATCAGTTCCTGGTCATTTCCTTTTACACACAGTTTAGCTCAACATTTTAATCTTGTAGGTGGATTGAATTACAGGGGATTTAGACCATTTTATTCCTGTATTAGTACAGCCTAAACATCATAATATTCCAGTTTACAAATATTACCTTTACACCTTCTATTGATGCACCTCAGTTTTCCCTAAGTGATGCACACAGTCAAGTCCTCTCACCCACAAAACAAAGAGCAGGACAACCAGGCAGCAGATAAGATGCTGGCAGATTTTTAATAATTTTTTAAATATTGCCGTACACTACACAGTATTTATGTATCTGCTGCAATATCCTCATCACCAGCCTGAGCTGAGCCGACCCATCTCCCCATCATCTTGCAACATCTACCACCAACTGGTAACTCAAGTTATTATCCCTCAGTAGAAACTGAGAAAAAGCACACAAATAGAAAGTCACTTGCACTATGTGTTTTTCTAAAATGTTCAGCAAATGTGATGATCCCTAAGGAACTGTTACCTCCTCTTCCATTTTCAAGTGCTTCAGTAGTTACCCAGCACTGCTCAAGACAATTCAACATTTAATTTACAGTGTGAACACTTTTTGTCCTACAGAAGGCAGAAAAGCCAAAGGAGAAACTGTTTGAGAAATAAGTGGATAAGAAGGGTAATTAAGAACCAGCATCTCTCCTACATATGCCAAAAATAACTATCTCAGAATTTTTCAACAGAATAGAAATAACTCCTCTGTAAAGTTACAAACATAAGGTTACTGGCTTTACCAGCAATTAATACCTTAATAGTAATGCACTTGTCAAGCATATAACCCTTACTTTAACCTCAGCAAAAAAAGTGTTGGTTTTAGTTTCTAGATAGTCGTAACTCATGGATGCATAGAGAAATATTGATCTATGAGATAAAAAAGAGTAAATGGTTTTGCAATGCTGACGGAAGGCTAGAAAAACCTCAACTTTTGTTTACTTTCTGCATATGGAACTGCGGCGTGCGCAACTGTTTTATCAAATAGCTGTTTCAAATTATTTTGTTATTTAAATATTTCAAAGTCATAATATTGCTCAGCTGAATATAAGAATTTGAGATTTTAAAGAACCTTTTCTAATAAAGGTTTATAGCAGGTCTTAGTGTCTACAGGTTCTTTTTCCCATAGCCCTGCTAATCCATTCAAGTCAATGGGTGCTAATTATTTGTTGTCAATACCAGGATTACTCAGGCCTTAGAAGATGTACAAAGAGATATATGGTCTGTTGATATGTAACTCATTAGCTAGCTAAAATTCAGGCAAAGCCTAAAGGCTAGCATGCTAGCCTTTCCAAATTACAGAAGTGCTTTGAAATTAATTTTACCTAAGCAAAAATAAAAGCTGCTTTATATTTCATTGTATTTTTGCTTGGATATTCCAAATTGTCCTTACCAATAGTCAAATCCTGGCTCCGGTGAAACTGGTGAACCCCCCACAATTTCTCCTTGGGTGACTGTAGCAATCTTTAATGATCAATCACTTCTCAGGTTTTTCCTGTTAAGCACCAAAATTGGAGTCTCCAAATCGATAACCTGCTAAAATAATTTTCAGTGGTTATAAGGGAAAAGGAAAAAAGAAAAGAAAAAAGATATATTCATAGATAGAGATTTAGAGAAGATTAATAAAGCAGAGGATTACTTTCAGCCATGTTTGCAACAGACAGTTTCATTAGAGGGGATCAGAATGGCCCAGGGGTATCCAGAAAGCTCATCAGTCTTGATTCTATATAATGCTTTTAATGTTCAAACAACCTCAATATGAAAGCATCATAGCAATGGCCAGGCAAAAACCAGTTCCCTCCCTCTCACCTAAGCATCGCATCAGCAAGAAACTAGTCTCTGGTACAAGTAGAGGCTCTTAAAAATCTGTATTTTGGGGCAATGCTTGTCTAGTTCTCCAGGGAGTACAAAAGAGGATTTGACTACAGAGCCCCAGGACCTATTTTGACACCTTAGGGAGTAACGCAGAGTTACTGCCCCATCCCCAGGTGCTCACTCGTGCCTTGCTCTGCCCCGCTGGCATCACCGTGCCTCCGCATGCTGCCCCACGGACCAGGGGCTCCTCCAACACGCACTAAGAGGAGGCTGGAAGGGGACATGAGATCAGGGATAGGCAAAGGACAAATCCTGCACCATCATTATTACCAACATACACGGAAGCGCATCCCAAGCACTAACTCTGTGCTTCAGTTTTAAGGGCTTAAGTCATACTTTATGTGAATATTGGTGAACAGAAAATAGTAGCTGCATGGTTTGACACGACAGCAAAGGGCAACACCAGCTGCCCTCCTGCAGGCTGCTGTGCCTTTCCAGCACATGGTTGCTTCAGGCCTGGTTTTATGCTGGATCAGTTCCCCCTGGCCTGGTTTTGGGTGGAATCCCACATGCTGAGGGCTGGGGGTGCTTCCCTGCTGCTACACAACACTCCCAAGCACACAAGCAGATATTGGAGAGGGGTGCATAGCAGGGGAAAGGCAGCATCGTCACCCCCTCCATGA